AAATATTTTATAAAATTATATTTTTTAAAAATATATATATATATATATATATATATATATATATATATATATATATATATTATTACATATGTGTATTTATATATTTATATTTAAATTTTATCGTCCTCCTTATTTTCTGCCATTTCCATTTTTTTTTCATTGCATTTATTTTAAAATTACTCCCTCAATATTCTTTTTATTTTTACTCTTTGAAACATCACTAGAGGAATAACATTGATAACTATCGAAATATTATGTTAACCAAAGGATCTTGCAGAATAATCTAGATTACATTTTAAAAGTATTTACAGTTGTATTTTCAACATTGTAAACTATCATTGCTTTGATCAAAACGGGATCCATGTGCCCGATTAAATAACCTCATGGATTTAAAGAAACATATTAAGCAACGCCAATTTACAAGTAGAAACTATGTTGACATTAAAATTTACAAGATATCTCTTTCCGGTCTTGTGAAGGAGAACTACTTCACCAAAATATCATTTATTGCAAGTTACATTTAAGACTTTAGATATGATACTAATTAAATGTTATACAAATTAACTTACCATTTAATAGCAACTATCATTAAATGTTGTATTAATAATAAGAATTAAAACTCATTTGTAAAAATTAAGCTATTTGTGTATTTAAAGAAGTAATAAATGCAAATCCACTTAATGCTATGTTGATAGGTATTAATTTCCACAAGGTTATATCACAACGGGAAAACCTAAAATAGACTTATCAAATGAAAGGCAGAGTTTCTAAAACCCTGTGTAAATTTTAAACGAGTGTTTGAAATTGAATCTACTACTACTTTCGATAGTTACATATTTCTACCCGACAAAATCACATTGTGGTCACACAAGTTAACACCATTAAAGTTTAATAAAAAAAGAAAAAAAGATGTAGTCCTAGGGACTTGTTTCATTCTTTATTGAAATGAAATTAAAAAAAAAAAAATTAATTTGAAAATGCAAATATATATATACCAAGTGTTTCTTTCAGAGATTTTCACCCGGATGCATTAAATATTTTCGGAAAAGGGGGAGGGGGGCAGTGCCAGTAGGAAAGAGGCTTAATTGAGGTGGGCTATGAGGCATATGTCCCCGGCGCCAGATTATCGGGTGCAACTAATGAGATTTTATTGTTTAAATGGATGAAAATAATGGGTTTCAGAGTTTTGGGGGGGGTAAATATACCCTGGCTCCAAACACTCACGCCAGTGACGTAGAAAGGTGGGGGGGGGGCATTTTATATAACACCAAAGTTGGTTGTAATTATCAGAAAGTAGTGCAAAAATACAGCATACCGATGGATTTTTTTTAAAAATCAAGAGGTGCATTTTGAAGTATTTATGATCGGAATGTTTTGACAAGACTACTTGATCAGGACAAATAATTGTTTAAGTTTCGGGGGGAGGCATTATGGTTCCTAGCGCCATACAAAAACTAAATTCATTCTCATTATGGTGCATCCAAGATGACCATTAGACACAAGATTTGATTCAACCCCGTTTATTCACATTGATCGACGTTAAGGAAGAGGTAGCAGAAATTGAAGAATCGAAAGAGTCTTGAGCAAAAGCGGGAGCAAGGGTCACATTAATTTTTAATAAAATCTAAATGCAGTGATGCATTTCTTTGCGTATTTAAATTCAGTTATTTTTTCAGAAAATGTGTGAGTGGGCATTTAAGAATTTTTTTGACAAAAAGATTAATGTATTCCTTTTCAATATTAAGTTGGAAAAATCATTAAAAACATACATGTGAGCACCAATGGAACCATTAAAAACTAATTCCAGGTATGTAGTACAGAACAAAACCAACAGGGAGTTATAAAGCAAACCACTGCAGAACCTGGCATACAGAGGATATAGCGCTACTGGGTATAAACAGCGATAAAATAAATAAAACATTCAGAGAACTTGAAGATGTATTGGTCAAGGCTGGTCTTGAGGTGAATGAAGCGAAGACGAAATATATCATGATGTCACGAAACACGCACATTGATGACTACACAAATATTTAAAGAAAAACATCCTTGATCGAGTGGCTACTTTAGAACATCTATAAATAATCACAATGAAGTAATGTCGGACATAAAAGAAATGATAACAGCAGACAATCGTTCTTATTTCAGCCTACAAAAGCTAGTAGGAAGCGAAACCCTCCCTAGGGGGAACAAAAAAGGCAATTTGCACCACTATCATAAGACCAGTAGTTACTTACGCAAATGAGACATGGTCCTTTCTAGAAAACTACAGAACCTGCTCAAGACATGAGAAAGGAAAATTATCAGGAATATATCTGACCCAGTAATATCCACTTTTGTTTGGGCAATCGTTCATATCAGGAGCTATACCATATTGTACAAAGACCAACCCCTTGCATAAACAATTAAAAAGGCTGACTGCTTTGGAAATTACACATTAAAAGGATGCCGGATTTTAGAGTAGCAAAAACAATCTACAGATAGAAAGCAAAGAGGGATCGACGATGTAAAGAAGGACTCACACCAGCTGGGATTACGTGGATGGAGGCGCAAACACATGATCGATCCGAATGGAAGGATGTGATGGAGCAGGCTAGGGCCCTACATGAAGACATTTGAGAATTTGTGGCGGGAAGCGCTAAAAACTGCCATAATAACAGGGACATCTCTAACTCTTCCACCAGCCCATTATTAACAAAATTCAATCAATTTGGAGGCCCTTAATGATATGTTTTTTGTCGATAGGTTCTGGGATAGCGTAGTGTCGTCCCTTATATCTTTATAGAACCCGGAAAATAATAATACACTTAAGTGGAGAGCAATAGGATATATGCTGTTTAAGATTTTAGGGGTCACTTGACCTCAGAGTCCTCATATGGGCTCGGCAGCTTTAACGGCAGCCTGGGCGTAATATATTTTACAGGCTATAAATACTCTTAATTATCAGCATTAAACTGAAAAGTACCAATTTGGGAGGGGGGGGGGGCGACAAAGGTCAAGTGACGTCTCTGCTGACGTGGTGTGTTACACAAATATAAATTTTATATATTACTAAATAGTAATGTGTTTTTTTCTCCTTTTTTAAGGTTTTGGGATAACTACTCAAAGAGTAATTGAATTAGAGAAACCAAAATCATACGTTTATTTCTAAATATTTCTTAGTTTTACCTAAGTCAAAAGAAAAAAAACAACAACTCTTTTGTAGAAAGTGCTATACATTTTTATAGATTTTCAAAATTTATATTTCTTAAACATCGTATATAACCGAAATAATTATATAAAGAAGTTGTTTACAAAAGACATCATGTATTTATTAATCTATAATTGTTAGTGATTTTTTTTTTTAAAGTAAACGACCAAAAAAACAAAACAAAAAAGAAGAAAAATAAAACAACGTCATTTTACACTTCTGTTCCTCAAAGTGTTACAAAATTAGAAAC